AAGGAACGATTGGCCATCGGTGATCGGTCCTGTGGGAACAATGCTCCGTCCTCTCGAGGACGCGTGGTCAATGGTCTAACCGCTAAGACATGCAAAACATAAGAGTACGCCCCCCCTCCGCGGAGACTCTACCCACGCCCCAGCATCTACCTTTCGAGATCGTTGCTTCGCCGCCGCCGCCTTCGGGCCCGCGTCGTGGCCCGCGCCTTCGCCTGGTGCTGCCGCTCCGCCGCTCCCGAGGCCGCCCGCGTCGTGGACATCCGCCGTTCCACCGCCGCCTTCGCCTGGTGCTGCCGCTCCGCCGCTCCCGAGGCCGCCCGCGTCGTGGACATCCGCCGTTCCACCGCCGCCTTCGCCTGGTGCTGCCGCTCCGCCGCTCCCGAGGCCGCCCGCGTCATCGACATCCGCCGTTCCACTGCCGCCCGCTGCTGCTGCCGCCGCCGGAACGTCGTCGTCGCCGCCGCCTCCGGGGTATGCGCCGCTGTCGCCGTCGCCGCCGCTCCCGGACTGGTCTTCCTCATCCATTGAGGCCGAGCATTCCCCGCCGCAACCGCACCAAGACCGGCGGACCAGACAGTCGGCAAGAGCACCGGGATACGCACCTCTCACGCCCCATGCTTCGAGACTGCTTGGCGAGGGGGGATATCTGCGGATCCGAGGACGCACGAGAGCGGAAGCGCGCACCCTCACCCACCAACAGCTTTCTGCCCTATCGGTGCACCGGCAGCTCCCATCACTGCAGGACGATGCCGTCACCACGCCTCTCCCTCCGACCGAGATCACCATGGGGCTGCTGGCTCAAGCAAGCGAAGACGTCCTCGTCTCCATGCTGGATGCCCGGCGAGTCATGAACAGCAAGACAATGCTCCGGCCAGGATTGGAGGGGGGCGGCGAGAAGGGGGGCGGAGGCGAGCAGCTCTCGAGGAGTGAGGGCGTGGGAGAGAGCACGGGAAAGTTGACGGAGGTGGACACCGGCGAGGAGGGACGCATGGGGAATGGTGGGTCGATCGGTCCGTCTGAGCGGGGCGTTCCGCTCGGGCTTGTGGCGCGTCTTGCGACGCGCGACGACCTCGACTCAGCTTTGCGCGAGATGGAGCCGCCTCTCTTGCGACCCGACATGCCGCGCTGCCACGCCAAGGACCTCCGAGTACCCCAGACTTTCAAAGAGGCAAAGCAGAGCGAGCACAGCGAGAAGATCATGGATGCGGCCAAGCGTGAGGTGTTTGGATTGCTAGAAGCAGACGCGTTTAAGATTGTTGGACCGTAGCAGCGAATAGACAACTGCATCAAGTCGAAGCTTCTTTTTGATTGGAAGGTAGATGCGTTCGGCTTTCCTACAAAGGCCAAGGCTAGACTTGTTGNCAGCTTCATCTAGAGTTCGTATGTTGGCAACTTTGGCGTGTGAGCTTGACTTGGAGTTCTGTCACTTCGATATCGACCAGGCTTTTGTGAGGGCCCCTCTCAAGCAAGATATTTTCATGCGACTGCCGGAAGGATGTGGTGCGTTTTCGGGGAAGATGGTGCAGTTGAACAAGAGTCTTTATGGCTTGAGGCAGGCATCTAGGCAGTGGTACGCGTTACTGACGAAGTGCCTTTTGGCTTTGGGGTTCGAGCAGTGCATGGCTGATTCGTGTGTTTTTCGTTTCGTCGAAGGGGGGGAAGAAGTGTTGCTTCTTGTAGTGCACGTAGACGATATTTTTGCAGTGGGAACGAAGGAGAGGTAGGTGTGATCAATTCGGAAGGATCTGGGAGAGTACGTGCCAGTGAAGTCTCTGGGGAAGTTGAAGTGGTACTCCGGTTGCTATTACGAGAGGGACAGAGAGGCAGGTAGGCTGACGATTTCACAGCAGACATACACCGAAGAGTTGGGAGGGATATATGGTGTCGAGTTGGGGGGGGGCATTCCTTTGCCCACCTGGAGACTTTGGGACTTCGACTTGGACGAGTCGAGCGTAGAGTACCCTTTTCGCGCGCTGGTTGGTTCGCTGCTGTGGATTGCCTTGTTGATTAGGCCGGATATCGCGAATTCGGGGAGAGCAGTGGCGAGGTACTGCAGTGCACCGAAGATGATCCACTGGAAGGCTGCACTTTGCATTTTAGGATATGTAGATAGGACTAGTTCATTGGGGATTTCTTTTCAGAGGGGGACGGTTTCGGGTTTTTCTTTGATTGCGTTTGTCGACGCGGATTACGCTTTACGTGCGCCAGACCGTAGGTCGGTTTCTAGAGGGGTAGTGATGTGTGCAGGAGGGGCGATTGCATGGTTCTCCAAGACTCAGAAATGTGTGACTTTGTCTACCTCGCAGGCAGAATACGATGGCGGACATGGGGAAGGAGATTTTGTTTTTGAGGCAAGTTTGGCGTTTCATGTTGCCTAAGGAGTTGCGGCCGTGCATTCCCCTGTATGAGGATAACGAAGGGGCTATCCAGATCGCAAAACACCCGATCTCGAATTCCAACTCGAAGCACATCGACGTGCGGCATCACTTCCTCAGGCAGCTCGTAGATGAGAAGGAGGTAGAGATCATCCACGTAGCGTCGAAGTATCAGCATGCCGACTTCCTCACGAAGGCGCTACCTGAGAGAGAGTTTGTTTCCCACCGGGACTACGTGATGAACTTGAAGTGAATAGTCCGGGAAAACATTTTCGTTGTTGAGTTTTGCGTGTTTCTTTTTTATTTTTGTTTTTTGTGTTGATTTGTTTGATTTTCTGAGAAATCGTGTTCAAGATTGACCGGTGGAAATTGTCGCAAATATTTCTGGTTTAATGGTTGGCAATGATGCAAACCGAGAGGAATTTCAACGAATGTTTCTGGTTAAATTAAGGGTTTTTAGTGTTGTGACAAGAATGCAGTTTGACATGAAGGGAATGAATGTCTTGCACTAAATTTTGTTTCGGTTAGGCATGTGGTATGTATGGGAAGAACGACTCTATTCTACTGCATGGGTTTATGCGGTATTGTGAAGGCGTTGCCAAGTCTGTAACCGTCAGGTGAAGACAGCTTGGTCGTCTGTGTGGATAATAAGATCACTCTGTGTGTTTGCCTACCTAACCTCGCATCACATGCCAGCTACTTTGTAGCCACAGCTAAAGGAATAGCTGTACAGCAACTGCAGTGACAGTGCTGTTGCCTCAACATAGCATATTAAACTCCGGGTGTGGACTTGTCAATGCAGCGAGTAGAGGGGCTGTTAGACGTACTCACAGCATCGACAGATTATTGCAAGCAAGAAATTTCCGAGCAGATGGAGCGGGGAGTTTGTGGTTCAGCAGTTGCTTTGGATTAGATTTGGTGGTACCAACTTTCTTTGCCGCATATTACAGGATTATGGTATGTGTCTACAACGGATATGGTGATTGTGTGTTGTGGCTTCTCACTTGTTTTTCTTTCCTCTTTTCCCTCCTTCCTGTGTGCAAACAAGTCCTTTTTCCCCGGCCATCACGCTACCACGGCTATCACACCACGACTTCCACGCCAATCCTGGCGATCACGCCACCCGGCTATCACGCCTTCCGGACATCCACGTCCTTACTTATACATTTACACCACGGCTATCACGTCACCAGGCTTCCACGCCACATCCAGAGATACCATACCCGAGCTATCACGCTCCGTCCCAAAGTAGAAGGCTGTCACGCCCATCATAGTTCCTACACTATACCGTTGGCGGCTACCGCGCCGACGCACAATGCTACTCAACACGCTGACCGAAAAAAAAGATCTTCCGCTCTTACCTTGAGATGTGATATCGTCTATATTTGTATCGGATGGCAACACTGCCGCAACGCACCCAGCGATTGGGGTCAGGTCTGATTTTTTTTCACTCATCTCGCCAGTCACTGTTGAACACGTTTGGGTGCTGATGCTGCATGCAGTTGATGCGCGGAGGCGAAAGATGTGTGCGTTTGCGAAGAAAAGTATATTTCTTCCCGCAAGGAACTAACTTACGGGGGGGCAGTCAACCCCGGAAAAAATACCCCTCTGAACCGTAACAAAAAAAACACATGAAACCGAAAAATTTATGCGTTATTGGGGGAGGGACATAAAAGCGGTGAAAACACATAGCTGCAGGGAGCGGTCCCTTACATAGCCCGGCACAGCCCCCATACAGCCGCGACGGGGACACTAGACCACCCACTTGCACACCAGCACTAGGCAGATGGAAGGTGTGGAGATCCCCGCAGCGAAACGGGCCCGCAAGTCCATGGACGCGAGGCAGACACCCGACAAATCGGTCTTGCGCGGCGGCAGAACAGCCTCCTCAGCTGCTACAACAGCATCAGCAGCAGCAAGTTGGGTCCCAAGACAACACAGCAGTGCCAGCAGCGGGCGGGGCGTCACGTTCCATGACCGCCCGGCCTGACGGGGCTGCGGAGGAGGGCGGGGAGGATACGCTTTTCGACGACCCCGTGGAGGTGGTCGGCGAAGAGCTCGAAGGTTTACTGCGGCTCTCCCCCCCAAGCACGTCCAGCACGCCCGTGTTGGCCATCATCACGCAGCACGCGATCGACTCGCCAGAGACGATCCGCGATTTTATTGAAGAGACAGCAGCCAGGCTGGCGAAGGAGTCGGGATGCCAGCATGAGGCACCGCTTGTGACTTGGAAGCAGGATCGGGAAGCAGCTACGACGTGCGGGCGCCTCCAGGCTGGTGTCCTCAGCCGGGTGAACATGCAGGCGAGCACCCACGCAACTTCCGATAGCGGTTACTGCTGTGGAATTATCTAACGAAGCAGAGATGCCGTATGCATACGTACTGGCGAGTCGAGGGCTACTGTCGACCTCGGGTATTACGATTACAAGAGGTATCTGGGTCAAGTGCTTTCCATACTATGTAACCCGAGTGGATTTGCTAAGGGAAACAGTATGGACGACAGCAGCGTTTTTTGTAGGACAAACGTTACGTAAGATACCACACCCCCTGGATCGATTTGCAAAGCTCGATTAGCCCAAGACGAGGAGGAGGTACTCTCCAAACGAAATTTTTTACTAAGTCCTCTACAGGTAGCGGATCCAGCGCAGCCGCCTTCGGCACCGCCACACTTTCTGCTGCTTTAGAAATATTCGTTATTTCTATATCGACCCGACTTCGCGTAAGATACCACACCAAGTATTTGCAAAGCTCAATAGCCCGTGACCAGGAGGAGGCATTCCCTTATCGCAATTTTTTTCTAAGTCCTCGGCAGGTAGCAGATCCAGTGCAGCCGCCTTCGGCACCGCCGTACTTGCTGCTGCTTTGGAATTAATCGTTATTTATGTGTGCATCTGACGACATCGTTTACATACCCTAGCCTGACACCTGGCAGAACGGAATACGCTAAAACACACCAGTTTACCCCATTTATTCCGTGCGAATGTTCCGCAGAAAGTACTGGACCGCCAGATGACACACGACGGCGACCCTGGATATTGTCTGGCCAAGAGGGTCCGCAACCAGGTGTATTACGACACCTCGATTGATCTCGACTGCCACGGCAAAGGCAACCAGTGTTCGGCGGGTACCTGCATGAAGGCCGCCTTACAGGTCTTCGCCGGAGAAGCACGCGACGGCATCCCGTCGGAGATTGTGCGTGCCATGTGCAAGGAACTATTCTGTGCTTGTCGAACGGGGTACGGGGACGTCTCGCGTTCCAAGTTTGTAGAGGACCACGGACATCAGTGGAGTAGTGTTACTCGGATGTGGGGGCGTTCGGCTCCAGACGACCTACCTTGGCTATTATGCTCTCTTCGAGCGTACTGTTGTGTTGTGTGGCCTCTGAACCCGAGTGGGGTGGGAAGGGTTCGGTTTCGGTTAACCCTACATGCCGCATGTTCAGCGTTGGTACGTAGGGACTCGGGACAGCGTCTCGGACACTCCAGAGCCGGTGGCTTATTTATTTTGTACCGGGCCCGTGGACGAGAGGCGTAAACATTGTATCGTCTAGTCACTAATATACCCAAAAAAATTTGGGTGTGTGCCAACCTGCGCACATAGCTTTGGGCGTGGTGTATCGTGTTCCGTTC